TGATAAAAAAAAAAAAAAAAAAAGGCGCCAAAGGTAACAAACACCACATATTACAATTCCAAAGATTAATTCCTTCAGCCGGAAATCTAAACGGACTTCACATCCATTTTCCTTTCTTCCGCCTTCGGCACCGTCACAGTCAGTACTCCGTTATCCATAGATGCCCTAATTTTCTCCATTTTCGCATCTTCCGGCAGCCGGAATCTCCTCTGGAACATTCCACTGCTTCGCTCCATCCGATGCCATTTCTCGTTCTTCTCTTCTTTCTCTACTCTTCTTTCGCCGCTGATCTGAATCACTTTTCCGTCTTCTATCTCCACTTTCACTTCCTCTTTCTTCAGTCCAGGCAGATCGGCTTTCAGAACATGAGCCTCCGGCGTCTCCTTCCAGTCTACATGAGCGTTCACCATAGCTGAAGTTTCACGAGCAATTTCCGGAAAGTGAGATGAAAGTGATGAAGGAAAGTGAAAATCGAATGGATCTGAGAGATCGAATGTGGCAAATGGATCGAAGATGCTGCTCCGTCGGCCACCGAAAAAGCTTGGAATCATCGACATCTTCAGAGGTTTAGTTGAAGAAATTGATATACGACTTGAATCGGAGATTTGAAATCGAGATTCGGAAGCGCTTTGATTGAACTCAACGATTATCAGAGGATAATTTGCTGGTTTGAAGTTTCTGATTGGTGAAGATTCTGGTTTTCTCTGGAAGTTTCTCTCTTTTTCGAAATATCCTCGCTTCCGTCGTCGAATGAACCTTCTGGGCGTTCGGCCAATTCTGATGCAATAGGCTTCTTTTTATGGGCCTTACTAATTTGACATACCCTACGTATTTAGAAGATTCCATTTTAGAACAAACCTTAGATCGAGCTTAGGAAATTTTTTTGCTTACCCTTTCGGGTTTTCAAACATGTTTAGAGGTTTTCACCTTTATAAGCAATATTTCGTTTCTCTCTCCAACCAATTTTGGATCTCACAATCTTCAATCCTATTAGGAGCTCAGCGTTCTCGCTAGCACACTGCCTGATAATCTGGCATCGATACCATTCGTAACCGTCTAAGCTCACCGCTAATTATCCTCTTTGATTTTTCCTTCCAAGTTTTAAAACGCGTCTACTAGGGAAAGGTTTTCATATCCTTATAAGAAATGTTTTGTTCCCATTTCCTACTGATGTGGGATCTCACGATCTTCAACTTGATAAAGCTTATTCGTGAGAGCAATCCAACCCAACTCATATATTTATGGGTTTCATTCAAATTGGATCTCCAGATTGAACACCTTGTGACTAATTAATTCAGAGGGAAAAAAACGACTAGTGAGTGAATTCATAGAATGATCAATTGCAACTCTAGTAGTGGAACAATTTATCTCTGGTGAGCATTGAAGGAGAAAAACCAACGAGTGAGAGGAGGAACTAAAACGACCAACAATTGAGTAGCATGACTATCGAGGAAGAAAAGGTTAAACTAAGAATGACTAGCAACCAGCGAGAAGAAATGGGAAAGAAATAAGGAGGAAATGGTGGCGAGGTGAGTGAGCGTTTGACAACAGGTGATTCATCTAAGCATGTGACAAGCATCGAGGTCTAGCCAGAGAAAGGAAAAAGAAAGAAATGATTATAGTCGAAAGTGGTGAACAACCAAATCTAACCTTTACGAGTTAGAATGGATTCTTCCAATTTTTTGAGTTGTCAAATCCTTTCAAATAGTTCACTCAATAGAGCTGTAGAGAAAATATAAAATTTGATGGGATTATTTTTTAGACAAATTAAAAACTTTAGTGGTATTTTTATTAATTTTTCATTTTATAAAAACACAAAGAAATTTCTGGAGAAAGCCAGAATCTCCGCCTAGTCGCTATAAATACTCGCCTCTTTCAATTTCTTCCCCAATCAGAAACTCCAAACCAACAATTTCGCGTGGAATTCATTCGAAGCGCTTCCAATTCTCGATTTCAAATTTCTCGTCATTTCAATTTCTTCAACTAAACCTCAGAAGATGTCGATGATTCCAAGCTTTTTCGGTGGCCGACGGAGCAGCATCTTCGATCCATTTGCCACTTTCGATCTCTCAGATCCGTTCGATTTTCACTTTCCTCTTCTATTTCATCTTGATACCTCTGATCTGATGAACGCTCGTGTTGATTGGAAGGAGACGCCGGAGGCTCATGTAATGAAAGTCGATCTGCCTGGGCTGAAGAAAGAGGAAGTGAAAGTTGAGATAGAAGATGGATAAGTGCTTCAGATCAGCGGCGGAAGGAGCGTCGAGAAAGAGGACATAAACGAGAAATGGCATCGGATCGAGCGACGCAGTGGAAAGCTCCAGAGGAGATTCCGGCTACCAGAGGATGCGAAAATGGAGGAAATTAGGGCATCAATGGAGGACGGTGACGGTGACGGTGCCCAAGGCGGAAGAAAATAACGCGGATGTGAAGTCCGTTGAGATTTCCAGCTAAACAACTGAATATTTGGCACGGATTTTGTGTACACGCTAAACTATTTTTCATTCTTTGTAATTATGTTGATAAATTGTGTGGTGCTGATTTTGAGCCTATAAATGTAAGCAATGGATCGATATCTGTAAATTGGCTTGTGATTTCGAGAGACTGTGAAGAATACAGTTCTTCAATGTGACATGAATTAAAGATAATTTTGATTGAAGTATATTGTATATTAATGTTTTTTTGGTTCATATCATAAATGATGTCATAGAATATCATCAAAAAAGATAAATTAAAATAACAACCATCTCAAACAAATAGTATCAAACAAAAAAAAACAAATACTCTCAACAGTTTCCCATAGTGGAAGCAAAAATAAGCCCATCGTGGAAGCCCAAGTCGGCCCATAATGGAAGCTCAACGCGGCCCATACTGGACGCCCAAGTCGGCCCATAGTGGAAACCCAGGTCGGCCCATAGTGGAAGCCCAAGTCAGCCCGTAGTGGAAGCCCATGCCAATCCATAGTTGAAGACCAAGCCCAAGTAGGCCCATAGTGGAAGCCCAAGCAATGCCGGCTCATAGTTGAAGCCCAATTAGGCGCATAGTGGAAGCCCAAGCCCAATTCGGCCCATAGTGAAAGCCCAATTCGGCCCATTGTAGAAGCACAAGCCCAAGTCGACCCATAGTGGAAGCCCATCTAGGCCCATAATCGAATACGATGTCGGCCCATAGTGGAAGCCCAATGTTGGCCCATAGTGAAAGCCCAAGTCGGCCCATAGTGGAAGCCCAAGTAGGCCCATAATCGATGCCCAAATCCGCCCATAGCCCAAGCCGGCCAATAGTGGAAGCCCAACCGGCCCGTAGTCGAAGCCCATTTCGGCCCATAGTGGAAGCCCAAGTCGGCCCATAGTGGAAGCCCATGTAGGCCCATAATGGAAGCCCAAGTCGGCCCATAGTGGAAGCCCATGTAGGCCCATAGTGGAAGCCCAAGTCGGCCCATAGTGGAAGCCCAAGTCGGCCCATAGTGGAAGCCCATGTAGGCCCATAGTGGAAGCCCAAGTTAGCCCACCTAGGCCCATAATCGAAGCCCATTGGGTCTCATAGCCCAGTCGGCCCATAGTGGAAGCCCAGTCGGCCCATAGTGGAGCCCAATCGGCCCATAGTGGTAGCCCATGTCTGCCCATAGTGGAAGCCCAATCGGCCCATTGCCGAAGCCCATTTCGGCCCATAGTGGAAGCCCATTTCGGCCCATAGTGGAAGCCCAAATTAGCCCATTGTGGAAGCCCAACTAGGCCCATAATCGAAGCTCAACTAGCCCTAATCCGCCTATAGTGGAAGCCCAAAGCCGGCCCATAGTGGAAGCCCAAGCCGGCCCATAGTGGAAGCCCAAGTTAGCCCTAATCGGCCTATAGTGGAAGCCCAAAGCCGGCCCATAGTGGAAGCCCAAAGCCGGCCCATAGTGGAAGCCCAAAGCCGGCCCATAGTGGAAGCCCAAGTTAGCCCTAATCGGCCTATAGTGAAAGCCCAAAGCCGGCCCATAGTGGAAGCCCAAAGCTGGCCCATAGTGGAAGCCCAAAGCTGGCCCATAGTGGAAGCCCAAAGCTGGCCCATAGTGGAAGCCCAAAGCTGGCCCATAGTGGAAGCCCAAAGCTGGCCCATAGTGGAAGCCCAAAGCTGGCCCATAGTGGAAGCCCAAAGCTGGCCCATAGTGGAAGCCCAAAGCTGGCCCATAGTGGAAGCCCAAAGCTGGCCCATAGTGGAAGCCCAAAGCTGGCCCATAGTGGAAGCCCAAAGCTGGCCCATAGTGGAAGCCCAAAGCTGGCCCATAGTGGAAGCCCAAAGCTGGCCCATAGTGGAAGCCCAAAGCTGGCCCATAGTGGAAGCCCAAAGCTGGCCCATAGTGGAAGCCCAAAGCTGGCCCATAGTGGAAGCCCAAAGCTGGCCCATAGTGGAAGCCCAAAGCTGGCCCATAGTGGAAGCCCAAGTTAGCCCTAATCGGCCTATAGTGAAAGCCCAAAGCCGGCCCATAGTGGAAGCCCAAAGCTGGCCCATAGTGGAAGCCCAAAGCCGGCCCATAGTGGAAGCCCAAGCCGGCCCATAGTGGAAGCCCAAGTTAGCCCTAATCGGCCTATAGTGAAAGCCCAAAGCCGGCCCATAGTGGAAGCCCAAAGCTGGCCCATAGTGGAAGCCCAAAGCCGGCCCATAGTGGAAGCCCAAGCCGGCCCATAGTAGAAGCCCAAGCCGCCCCATAGTGGAAACCCCAAGCCGCCCCATAGTAGAAGCCCAAGCCGCCCCATAGTGGAAGCCCAGTCGGCCCATAGTTTAAGCCCAATTCGGCCAATTGTCGAAGCCCAAGTCTCCCATAGTGGAAGCCCAAATAGGCCCATGATTAAACTCCATAATGTAAGCCCAAATTGGCCCATATTTGAAGCCCACGTAGGCCCATAATACAGCCCAATTTAGTCCATTGTGGTGGAAGCCCGCTTTCTTAAATTGCCGTATCTAGCATGGAACTCCATTATAGGAGGGAGAAATGAATCCCTTTAACCCTCCGAATTTCCTTGTCCCACCTCCTGTTCTTTGCTCAGATTCATTTAATCCCGAAACAGACTGCGTTCTTATCAGTTATCAGAAACTAAGCGACCTCCCAAATACCTCACACAAATTTCGCGGCCCCGGAGCCGCCATGGAAGCCGCCGACAACGCACACCACCACCATATGCACGGAATGGCGCCGCCGATCGCCGGAGATGACGCACGGCACGATGATGCTGCACATGACCTTCTTTTGGGGAGCCAACGCCGAGATTCTGTTCAATCGCTGGCCTGGCGAACGCGGCGGCATGTACGCCTTGGCCTTGATCATCGTTTTCGTGCTTGCTTTCATCGTCGAGTGGCTTTCGCAAAGCCGATTGATTAAGGAAGACTCGAGCGCCACGGCGGCAGGATTCAAGAACAGAGCAGCCAGTTACATCGTGACACGTGGATAAGGATTCAAGAAAACTAAGGCGGCGGAGACGAGACACGGTTGCTAACTTTTTTTCTTAACTCTTAAAATTTGAGTAATATCCTAAACCTTCAAAGTCTAAAAAGATATCATTCAAATATATCTGTGTACTTTTTTTAACATTTTAAAAATTTTAATTCTAGATTTAAAAAATATGCATGAAATTTTGAAATAATATGTTTTAATTTATAAAATAAAAATTTGATTTTAATTTTTTTTTACCATTAATAAATAGCCATACTTTTTAATTTGATTTCAAAGTGAGTATTTTTTAAAGTTATATAAATAGTGTGTATATATGTACAATAATCCAAATGAGTGTATGAGAATATAAATTGGGTAACAACATTATGAGAATAATTATGAACAACAATTGTACGACATTTCTTCTAACTCTACGAACAAGTCAACCGTGTGTATGATCGAGCTTTGAGTTATGTCCAGTAGAAAAATGTTTTATAAAACGTAAGCAAAGAAATGCATTGAAAACATTTAGATTAAAAGCAAAAAAAAAAACAACAATCATAGCTTTGATAGCATGTAACTCGGGTAGGAAGCGTTGATGACTAGTCAGGTCTCTTTGTAGTGCATTTTGGAACATTTTAGTCGTGACATGTGTGACGTGATTTTGGCAAACGGTTATACAACTCATGTTAACATGGTAAGAATAGTAAAAACCTAACTACACACGAAAGCAAGTAAAAAGTAATTTGGACAACACGTCCCGGACAATTATGTCCGTGACATCTGATATACGATTATAGTTAACATGCTTTGGACAAACATAACCGTGAGACTTAGCATAGAATGATTGCATATCTTTAAGAGTGAGAGTATTTTCCTACTCAACACTCCCTTAGACACGTGTTGAGGCTCGTCCATTGGCCTGTTAGTCGGCTCTCAAGGCCTCGTTATCCTTATTTGCCTGACATGATCTTTTCATTTAACATAGCCAAGACGTTCAAATCTTCTTTGAATTAGGACACCAGAAAGGCCAAATGCAACAACTTGAGGGTGTTGCATGGCCGCAAACTGTTAGATAAAATGTCAGAGAGAGCTTTTGTGATGAAAAAGGGCTCTACGTGGAGGTAAGCCAGTTGTTTATTTCTTGTCTTTGGCGTATGATATATGTTGAACTGCAGCTGTAAGTAACACTGTCGGCAGCTGTGTTGCGTTGCTGCATGAAGAGTTTAAGAACACAGATTTTGTTGTCCCAATCTGAGTTAGAAGATCATATTCATCTGAAAACCACAAAAATTATACCCATCTTATCTTTTCTTCTACAGTCATGGAATTGGAGCTGGAGGGACTCGTGATCTTAGAAGAAGGACGTTTTGTTATGTGTTCATACTTTCACCACCGTTTTCTGATGTCCATATTCATCAAAATATTGTCTGTTTTAGCTCGTTACGTATTGTCGTCAGCCTCACAAAAATGCGTCTAATAAGGAGAAGTTTCCAAACTCTTATAAGAAATGTTTCGTTCCCCTCTTCATCTATCTGATGTGAGATCTCACAATCCATCCTTTTAAGAACCAGCGTCCTCGCTGGCACACCGCTCGGTACCTGGTTGTGATACTGTTTGTAATAGCTCAAGCTCACTTTTCGTAAATATTGTCCGCTTTAGCCCATTACGTATCGTCGTCAGCCTCACAGTTTTAAAACGCGTTTATTAGGGAGAGTTTTTCACATGTTTATAAGGAATGTTTTTGTTCCCCCTCCAATCAATGTGAGATCTCATCTAATTTATATACATTTAGATGAAAATACAATGACCTCGATATTCCCGTACGACATGATCACGTTATCAACCTATTGATTCTAAAAATGAAAACTATCTCCATATACGAATATAGGTCATTTAATTAACGAGGAGGACTAATTTTAAATTTTATTAAAAGTAAAATGATTAAATGAAAATCATAATTTAATAAAAAAAAGTTTATATTTAATATTATAATGAGAGTGAGAGGGCTACGAAAGGAAATAAATAATGCATTTAATTTGTACATGATACAAAAAGGAATATTCAGCTTTTACCAAGTCCAAGCAATTTCAAATTATATTATAATTTAATTTTTTATTCTTTTCCAGTCTATCATCGTTCTAGGTTATATTTTAGGGATAATTAGGTCTTTTACCTTATTTACTGTTCTAAATGTCAATTTTGTAATATATATAATTAAATTTCAAAGTAAAAAATTTAGAGTTATTAAAGATACAACAAAAATAATTAAATTATTTAAACAATTATTGTAAAGGATTGAATACAATCTTATTTGAAAATTATTACCAAAGGACTTCCATCTAAAAAATCCCCTTTTTTTTTTCACGTTGCAGTATTAATTTCCCAAACATTATTTACGGTTTTACCCCTAACAGAAAATTATTACCCAAGGATTTCATCTAAATGCCCTCTCGCGGATTGGTGAAGCTATTTTAGTACGTCCATTCTTGAGGAAGACCCACGTCGATTTGGCTGGTCGCAGCCGTCGTCGCCGCCTCCGCCGCTGCTGTCGCTTCCAGATGACTTTTCTTGTCGGTATGTGACTTTGTTCTGGCACTAGCCGCAGCTTCTGTTAAACAAGAAACATAAATGAATAAACAAATAGGAAGAATCTCTCGTCATTAGCCGCAGCTTCTGTTAAACAAGAACATAAATGAATAATTAAATAGGAATCTCTAGTCAGATGATAGAGAATCAACCAGATCGAATAGAGACATAGAAGGGGGTAAGCGAGCAATTATGTGTGGAATGACCGCAAACTGTTTGTGAAAATGCCACAGAGAATTTTGTGATAGGAAACTGAAAATTTACCTCTTAAAGCTGTGAAGCCAGTGATCTTTTCTCTTGTCTCGTTGTCCATTCTGTCGTAGTGAAGTTGTAAGGCTTGTAGGACTCTCACGGGTATTAGAACAGTGGAGCAGCCTGAGATAGGGAAGGGGAGGGAAAATGATCAATTTGCTTAGTGTTTTTGCCTTGTATGGGAAGACAACGCATCTCCATCCATTACAGAATTTAACTATAGCGGGCAGTGCAAGTGGTTTAATGATTCAATTGGGTGTCGTTGTCAGCCACCTCCTTTTAAAGGGATGGATGGAGATTCCATCAAAGAAGTGGACAAGTTTTGTCGGCCCAACCATGAATGGTTGGAGGTCTTATAGATTCAAAGCATTTGGGAGGACACGGAATCTCTATGAATCCAAAGAAAGATAAGAAAAATAAAAGGAGCGGTATGAGGAGAAGTCCCAAAATGCATCACAGTATTGGTTTGAATGGCAATTCATAGAGGGAAAAATCACAACAAATGGGGTGTGAGATCCTGCCTAGGTTGGAGAGAGAACGAAAAATTACTTATAAGGGCGTGGAAACCTCTTCCGAACAGACGCGTTTTAAAACCGTAAGGCTGACAGTAATAGGTAACGAGTCAAAGTAGACAATATCTGCTACCGGTGGGCTTGGGCTATTACAAATGGTATCAGAATTAGATATCGAGCGGTGTGCCAGCAAGAACGTTGGACCCCAAGAGAGGTGGATTGTGATATCTCACATGGTTGGAGAAATGAACAAAACATTTCTTATAAGGCATGGAAACCTCTTTAGACGCATTTTGAAACCACGAGGCTGACAGCAATAGGTAACTGGTCTAAGCAAACAATATCTACTAGTGATTGGATTTGGGCAGTTATTGAAAATTATGTAAATAACCAGCTACTTATTGAATGAAAGGAGAAATTACCCTTTTTCTTGGGCGGCTGTGGTGGCTGAGGACATGGTGCTGGACGGTTGTAGTTGACATGGCGGGGCAAGAACACTCCTGTCCCCGATGACCCTCCTCCTGGTTTTGCCCCTGAATTGGCTTGTGAGGTGCTTCCTTGAGCCTGCTTGGCTTGTGTGGCTGCGGAGCTTTTTTGCTTCATAAACTGCTGCTGCTGCTGGTTCTGCCTCCGCTTCTGATTCTACAAGGAGGGTTGAGTTTTGAATCAGCAAAGAAAGAGTGTAAGAAACAGAGATTTGGGGGATGAGGGGGATTTGAATTTCATCTCACTTTGGAAGAGGAAGATCTGGTTCCTCCATGTTGGGGGCTTGTTTGGATTGATTTATCATTTGTGCTAACTTTTTTCATCTTCTCCAGTTTGCTGAAAACGTTGTGTGAAATATCCAGCCCTCCACGCTCTACAACTACCGGCGTCGATGGCGGCGATGGCTCCTTGGAAGGCCCTTCTGGACTTCCGTAGCTGCTCTCAGTGCTAGAGCCTAGTGGTGACCACAGCGTTGAAATTGGCGAACTAGACAAACCCCATGGCTACCAAAACAGAAGACACCCACAAAATAATGAAAACAGAGGAACAAAGAATTTGACAAACGCCCTGAAATCTCTTCCACTCCTTACTAAATTCAATACCTTGCTCTGTATCTCAGGTTGAAAGCTTTCAATGGAGGAGTTATCATCATCTTGAAGCATGTACTGAGCCATACGCCGACTTAACTCAGCTGTATAATCATCACCGCCGCCGCCGCCGCCGCCACTGCCGCCACCGCAGCCGCCGTCATCTTTATCACTTTCAATCTCTGATTCCACCTTTGAGCTGAAGCTGAGAAATGAATCAGACCGTCCATAATAGCTCGACCAATTGTCTCCTTCAAAGGGGTTCTGCTTATTTCCATGCTCAGCCTGAAACTGTGAGTAAAACTTAAACTCTCTGCCTTCTGGGTCTGCCGCCATGTCCTCTCCTTAGTGCTCACAGAGAGAGAAACGAACAGAGAGAAAGAGAGAGAGAGATAGAGAGACAGAGACAGAGAGATTGAAAATGGAAATTTAAGCGCCGTAGATTTGGACTTTGTAGTCCAATGAAATATTTTTATGGTTACAGTTACAGAACAGGCTGTTGGTAGTGTGGGTTCAGTCCGACGGTGGCCGGCCGCCGTGGGGTTAGGTGAGAGGTGGATTTGAAGAACGCAGAGATCTGTGGCCTGACTTTTCTGGTTCTATATACAAGCGAAAGCAACGATATCCTCAGCCTACAGTATCTATCAAGATATGAGCTTTTGAATCCCTCTTGGCCTCTACTTTCACTTTTTTTGGATTTCTTTTCTATCTATTATTAAAATCAACACTATATTATCTTTGGCTTAATTTTTATTTTAGTTGTTTTTAAATTTTTTTAAAATCCTCTCATAGGTAAAAACCTCTCCCTACCATACATCTTTTGTAAAACCTTAAGATAGATACCCGAAAGAAAAATTCAAAGAGGATAATATTTGATAAAAGTGGACGAGCTGTTACAGGCGAAAAAAATTTTATTTTAAAAAAGATAAATTTTTCTACTTAGATTATTGGATAAATTGCAGGTATTCACATGAATAGAGAATCAGACCAATCCGAACTACCCAAACGAAACTACAAAAGTTGAGTAAGGTGAGTTATTTTTTTTAAAATTGAAAATTTGGTTCCGTTCATATTTGATTTTGTTTTATCCAATTAACCAAAAAATAGGACTACAATCCAATCCTATCTTAAGAGTTTATATATAATTTTTTAAAAATAATTATAATAAAAAAAAAGCAGACAATTTAACCCAACGGTAAATTCTATTTGGGTTGCTTAGGTCACCAACTCAACTAGCTCGTATACTTCTAGAAGATATTTTGATAATAGTTTGCATACTATCATATCATTTACCTACTCATTATTGAAAATCTTAATTTTTACTTAATTCAAAGTAATTTTGAAATACGTATAAAAAAAAATGAAGAATAATTTTGTAATTTTTTAAGATTTTTTATATTTTTAAAACAAATATCAATTTTTATTTTAATATTAATTTAACGTTAAAGATAAGATAAATTATTAAACTTTATGCTTCATTTAATAATTACTATTATTGTTTAAAAAAAAAAAAGAAAAAAAGAAGCAAAAGTGTCGCTATACAGGATTATCATTTACACTTTTTTTAATAGAAGAAATCTCTCTTTTTTGATATTGTTATTTATTGCGTTATATTTCTTTTCAAAAATTATATTATTATTATTATTATTATTATTATATTCATGAAATTGATAGTGACATCTTTGATTCAAATTTTTTCCAGTACACCTTTTTCCTTTTTTCGATTCGTTAAAATGATTTTTTTTATTAAAAAAAATATTTTTTCCTTTTTAAAAAAAAAAAAAATTGGGAAATTTCCAGAAATATTTGGATTCCTCATAACTGAGGATGGCGAAGCATCTACTACCTTCTCCCCCACCCTCATTGCCATCTCTAATAAAAGAAAAGGATATTCTTTAAGTTGGGAGGTGGGGGCAAAATGGGAAATCAAGTTTATTCCTCGTTACATTGTCCGACCTCGTTCGATGATTTCTCTTTTAACTTAAATTATAAATTGAGTTTTTGAATTTTGAAATTTGTGTCTGTTCTTGGACTTTTAAAATTACAAAATTAACGTGTATTAAACATAAATTTAAAAGTTTAGAGTTTCATTAGATATAAAATTTAAATTTTAATGGAAATTATAAACGTAAAATTGAAAGTTTAGAGACTTATTAGATATAATAATGAAACTTCGGATGTCTATTAGGCAAATTTTCAAATGGTAAGTAGAGATGCTCATGGGGGTATAGTAGGGATAGAAATATCATCACCATTCTCGATTTATTTTCGCAAATATAAATAAAATGAGGTGGTGGGGCGACAATTTAGATCGGGACATGGGAGGAGAATATAATCTCCGTTCTCAACCTCATTTAACTAATAGGGAGAAATCTCTTTCTACTCCTTCCCTCGTGTTCTCTGTTTAAACATAGATTGTAAGATTCCCTATTGGTAGGAGAGGTGAACGAAACATTTCTTATAAAAGTGTGAAAACATCTCCTTAATGGAAGCGTTTTAAAACCATGAGTCTGATGCCGATAAGTAACAGGTCAAAGTCGATAATATCTGCTAGCGTAGGTTTGAGTTGTTACAAATGGTATCATAGTCAGTCAATAGACGGTGTGTCAGGAAGGACACTAGGGCCCTCAAGGGAGTGGAATGTGAAATCTCATATCAGTTGGAGAGAATAACGAAACATTCCTTATAAGAGTGTGGAAGCATCTCCCTAACAGATACATTTTAAAACCGTGAGACTGGTGACAAAATGTAATGGGCCAAAACAGACAATATCCTAAAAGTTTCTATCAAACGTGACCTAAAAGTAGGTTTTTAAAATATTACTTGAACTTTGATATAAATACGATAAGATCGTCCCTTTTCTAGTATCACCCAACACATTACCAAACATTGTGGGAATTGAACTTTGGTTTGACAAAATAGCATATATTAATCATAATTAAGGAATCTTTATTTTTTTCAAAAGAAATAAATTAATAATAATATTAATTTAAAATATAATTTGGAAGTCAACCTTTCTAGTTATACTTTCAACAACTCCCATTAACTACCAATAACCTTGCCGAACTCAATTATTGGTGAGAGAATATTTTAATTCATTTTAATAATTAATTGGTTTTGATTTTTCTATTTTTTAAAATTGGGTTTGATTTTTGGCGACATTTGAATTAATAGTTTTTTAATCTGTAAGTCTGTCTAAAATGAATCCACCTATCGTGCATGTACTTCAACGGTAATTTTATAGACATCTATATGAGACTTGATCGAGAGTTTCAATTTCTTCGAATTGGACTCAGAGAATTCGAATTGTATCTCTAAGTTTTTTTTTGGGGTTGAGAATGTGTTTGTGACACGCAGGGTAAAATAGTCCGCTTTTAGTAGAAGCATGCTCGAGCATGTTGGAGTGGCGTTTGAGCCACCTTAGCTTAGGTCAAGGTGGATAATTGAACCTGTAGTCTTCTTTTTGACTTTTGTAGGGTTTATTTAACCTCAATGTTTGGTTGATCGGACTTGGATGGTAGTCGACTCTAAGCTTGGTCAACCTTAAGCTAGATTAAATATTGGTTTATGGATTAGGACATTAAATTATATAACTTTATCAAATATTTAAAATTGATTTTGATATTTTAACGCTAAATTAATAAAAATATTTTTAAATTTTGCATTTTGTTTTTAAAATCTTGAATAATACTCTTAAAATTTAAAATAATTTAAAATAATATATATAAACTTTTTTAAAAAAATAAAAAATAAAAATATTTCAACAAAGTTTTAAATTTTGAATTGAAATTATTAATATTTTGATTAAAAACTTATAAAAAAAATATTTTAAGTTTAGAAAATGTTTTAAAAATACCTTTCAACCTAAAAAAATATATATTTTTTTTATTTTTGTGAAATTTCATTAATAATATTATATTTTTTAAAAAACTTTAAAAACATTTTAATTTCTTTTTTTTTTTAAAACTTCAAAAATATTTCAACTTTTTCAATAATTACTTAAAAAAAATCATTCAATTAATTTTGTAATATTAAATATAGTTATTCTTTAATTTTTTTTTTTTAATTTCAATAGTATTTTTTAAATTAAAACTTCAAATTTATTTTTATTAATTTAGTTTATTTCAATTATTATTATTATTATTTTTTTTTCATTTTGTAGAACACTTTTTAAGAATTTTTCTTTAGGAATATAATTCAGATTATTATTCTAAAGTTTTAAGGAATAAGATTCATTCTCTTTTTAAGAATGAATTTAATAAAGTAAACTTAGTTTTTTATTCTTTAGAATATAAAGAGTTCGAGTTGAGTAAATTGAAATACCTCGTTTTTTGTTTGGGTCCACATACGTCACAAATTTTTTTAAAATATTCTACTTTATCAACTCCAACCGTGTTTATTATTAAAGTCTTATGAATGTTTATATGATCTAGTAACTCGACTAATCTAAGCTACTCAATTCAAATCATAAAAGTTGGGTTGTGTTAGGTTTTTTTTCGGTTTGGGTTGAATTAAATTTTTGAAAAACCGAAAATTCAGTTTACATTGTGGGTTGACATTTTTTGGGTCGGTCAACCCAATCAACCGAAAAATAAGGTTATAACCCAACCCAAACACTACCTAAAATGACTGAGAATATTGAACTTTTGTTACTAGTACAAGTGATGTGGTGTGGTTTATAAATGTTTTATATTTGAATTTAATGATATTTTAGTTACTAATTTACACATGATCTCCCGACCAACCTAGCCTACTCAACTCAAATAATAAAAGTTGGGTTGGTTTAGGTTTCGGTTTCGGTTTGAGTTGGATTTAATTTTTGAAAACCGAGAATTCGTTTGCACTGTGGGTAGACATTTTTTTTATTGGGTCAACCCAAACCGAAGAATAATGTTACAATCTAATCCAACTCAACACTACCATACTTTTAAAATGATTTCAAATACTTTTAAAAACTCTACGAAAAGAGAAAAATCAACTAAATAATGAAAGATTGGAAGAATCAGAATCAATTTGACTCAAAAAAAAATCGAGTAGAAGTTCGTTTATAATTTTGATTATTTAAATAAAATTTTTTTATATTATAAAAATTTATTATTATATATTATTATATAAATAATAAATAATTGAATAATGTAATGTAAATTTATTAAAAAAAAATTATCACTAAAAAATATAGATTCAAATAAAAATAAACATTTTTTTTATCAAAGCAATTATTGGAATTTCCTAATGTTTTGAGCGGATGAATATGAAATTCCTTTTTTTCGGGTATGTAAAAAAAATAAGAAATCTTTTGTTTACTCAATTATAAAATATAAAATGGNAATGTAATGTAAATTTATTAAAAAAAATTATCACTAAAAAATATAGATTCAAATAAAAATAAACATTTTTTTTATAAAGCAATTATTGAAATTCCTTTAAAATAAAAAATTTTAAATAAAAATATTAATAAGAAAATAACACTAAAATATATGGTGGAAAATTTTGAAATATAAAAAAAAATTGGTCAAATAATTTTCTAAGTGATTTATGGTTTATTTATTTATAGTTAAATTATGAATTATAAGGACTATTGCTATTTAATACTTAAACACTTTTAAGAAATTTTAATTTATCCCTAAAGTCTTCAAATCAGGCTCCTGTTTAACATTAACAATTGACATAATTAAAACTGCGTTGACATATTATGCCCATTAAATAATTTTTATTTAGTTTTCATAACGTAAAATTTAAAATTAATTTACAAATAATGTCAACTATTTATTATTTTGTTCTAAGTTGAAATAAAGAATTTGTGGTAAGAATTATAGTATTAACAAACCTATCCAAATTAAATGAAATTAATTGTTTGATTGAGATGAGTTAGATTAATAAAAATATCGATTTGACTTTCTTAATACAAAAAAATATCTATAAATTTTCAAAAGTTTTAATATTAATCTTAAAAAAATTTTATTTTATTTAAAAAATATCCAAAATACTCTAAATTTATCATCCATATATTTTGATTAATAAAAATACATTTATCTATATAAAAAAAATCTTATCATCCATATATTGACGAAAACCGTCTATTAACGCATCATAGATTATTTACAAATATTTTAATATTATTTTAGAAAGTTCACGAGTATTTTTGAAACATAAGTTTATTATTATTTTTCTAAAGAAATTTGGTATTTTTGAAGTTTAAAAAAATGAAGGGAAAATTAAAGAATATTTTTAAAATAAAATATTAGCAGTTTCTCTGAGCTATTTTGATTTTTTTTTTTTTTAATTCAAGGGTATTTAGGATCGAAAAAATAAAATATAACAGTATTTTTTTATTAATTTAGTATTAAGATGCTGACAAACTGTTAAGGATATTTAGTAATAAATTATAGTTTACCATTATATTATATTTGATATTTTATTATAAGGCAAATATTAGATATTTAACTTATTATCATAGGTATCTTTCCATTTATTGTTATTTTCATTTATTGTTATTTACATTTATTACTATTTTCATATCCTTGTAATTCATTTGATTATAAATAAGATAACTTTCACACAAATACAAAAGAGAAGGTATGGTACGACCTTGACACCTAATTTATTATATACCAAAGTAAAAATTCAAAAATTTATTAGACATAAAATTAAAATTATCCTCAAAGATTATTTAAAATAGTTTTGAATTTTGCATTTTGTCTCAAACATACCTCTAAATTTTTTAAAGTTTTAATAATACCTTTAAACGCTGAAAAAAAAAGTTTGAAAAAATATCATTACCGTTATTTTAATCGCTAATAAAATTGTGCAGATTCTATTAGCGATTAGCAACCAATCTGTATCAGTGAACTTGTCTCGAGTGGCAAAAAATCACATAGTATCGTGTAGCTAACAAAGACACTGAATTAATTTTATTAGTTTATTATTTAAATTTTCTTCGAAGGATCTCACTATTTGTTGGAAATGAACATGTTGACTATTTTGGATTATCGAAACGCCAGTAAATCAATTATGGAGATGTGCTTAGAGAAGTTAGGTAACGGGATATCAATAATCTAGAAGTACTCGAAAGAAGCTAGTTAGTGTAAGCTCAATCATTTAATTAGATCAAGTGAATCCCAGGATTAAGATGAGCTTAGAGATGCTATAGACTGTGAAACTGACCAATGGGTTAGGGCTTATGACGCCGGTAACGACCCATGTCCAAAATTCAAAATCCAAATTTGGCACCTGATGACTCTAACATTCCCTTGCGACATGGTCACATTACTTATTATTCGCTTTTTTAGAGTGAAGACTATCCTCACAAACCAACACGAGTCCTTACAACATGCTTTGTTTTCACTCACATGCATTTCAAGAAGATTTCTAGTAGATTACCAATATAGAATTGCTCAAAGTAAAGCACGTTTAACCATAGAATTCTTATGATCGAATCACCGAAAAGAAAGATGTATCTTATCGATATAGATTAATTTTCAATTGTTTTTAAGTATTTCTTATTTGGACGTTTATAAAATTTAAAAATAAGTTTGAGTGAGAATATTTAAAAACAAGAACAACAGTGTTCCGATTCCGACATGTTTCTAACTTGGACGCCACTTCTTTAATTGCTTCCAAGAAACACAAACTCCGCCACCAAATCAAATCAAATCAAAATTTTGAATTCTTTTATTTTATTGTCTTGATTTAGCACCTTCATCTTCGTCGCCGTCCACTGCCATGTCCGTCGTTCCACGGCGGCGATCCTCCTCGACCAGAATCCATGTCATGGCCCTCGACGGCATCGTCAACGTCAACTCCCTCTTCACCTTCGCCGTCTTCCTCGGCATCACCTGGTACCCCACCGCTGACCCCACCGTCAACCTCCTTCCCGACGATGATGACGGCCCCTGCGCCCCAGCCGCCGCTGCCGCTCAGAGCCTCATCGCCTGCCATGTGTACTCCTTCAGCTGCTTCCTCTTCTCCAGCCTAGTCGCCTCGGCGCTAAAGCAGGCTATTAGAATCATTGGCAGCGAAGATGGAGGTCATGGTGCAGTCCACGCGCCGGCGTTACGCGTGGGGATGGTGGCGTCGGCAGTCGGGTCGGTGCTCGGATGTGGGTTTTTGGTGGCGGCGCTGCTGAATTTGGTACAGATAAAGTTAGGGATTTTCGGTTGCCGACGGTGGGAAACGGTGGCGGCCGTCGTGCCGTTGGTGAGTTTGGTTCCTATGGCGCTTTTCATTTACATCGTTCTTGTTCTTCACGCCTTCACGCGCTAGCATTTTCCCTCTCTCTCAATTTTTCTTAAGATTTATATCAATATTGAGTTAATTATTTTGCTGTGATTTTAAGAATATATGTATATATATTGTAAAATTAGAGTAACCGTTGGTAGTTTCAGTTTTTGTAGGGCGTTCGTTCGTGTATAACTAATTATCATTCTAAAAGTTTACGTAATTTTAAATTACGATGATGAATAACACTAAAAGTCTTTAATCTATCTCTCGTCTTATAATATAATTATTGAACTGAAAATGAAGGCACAGTTTTAATAAAAGAGGAATTAAAGGAAAGAAAATACAGAAAACTTCACACCATTTTTCAAAGTAAAAGAAAAAACAAACAAGAAATTAATTTGAAATGGTATACACAATGTAACGTAAATCCAACTTCAAATCTCCACCGCGCAGCTTCGTTATGAATTCCTGCACCAAAAAAAAAAAAATGTATGTGACAGGGGAACCAAGTAAACCCGACCAAACCCGAAGTTGGGATTCGATACAAATTATCCCCTCCCACAACCCACACAGCTCAACTCCATCGCATAACTAGAGAATTTTAACTAGCATCGCTAACCATGACAATTGTATCGATTAAAGCAGCTAAAAGAATGAACAGATAGATAGACCAAACTGATGAATAGGTCAAACCACCATGGAAGTTTACTTAAAATGAATTCTTAAGAAGCAAACAACTCAAAATCATCATGCCATCTAAGCTTTTTTCTAATCTGTTATACATTTAATAGATCTAAGAAATGATAGGGAACCAAGTAAAACCGACCAAACGCGAAATTGGCATTCAATACAAATTATCCTCTCTCAACCCACACAGCTGAACTCCGTCACATAAGTCGAGAATTTTAACTAGCATCAATAACCATAGTAATTTTGCCGATCAAAGCAGCTAAAAGAATGAAACGAAACGGATCAACCAAACTGTAAACCGGTCAAATCATGAGAGATGAAGTTTTACTTAAAATGAATTCTTAAGAAGCAAAGCATCTGAGAATTCTTAATTTTACAAGTTCTAAGAAATGATGTGCTTTTTTGGTAATGTTCTTAAGAATGAAAAACAGGAAATATAAAAAATCTTCCTTTTTCTTTTTTCTCCCTGAAATATGTTATAATGGTAGAAACAAAGATATGGATCTTTTTTTTTATTCTTTTTTCCTAATAGCATGAAGATTTGGTCTCTCTGTCATATAAACGTTGGATTATTTCAGGGACTTTCCACTTCCCTTAGAATGGAAGAATGGTTCAAATGCTTTGCAGCCATCCTTGAAAGTGGAAAGCAAAGATTCTATTGGCCACTGCTATTATAAATCAAACCCTAAAGAATATCTGGTTGGAAAGAAGGCAAGATAAACGGTTGGGGGAGAGGGAGAAACTAGCAAAATTCCATGCTTCTCTACGACAGGGAGAAAATAAACAACTTTTACTTTTTTGAATTCAATGATTCCGGGAGTCGAGAACCGAATCATCAACCTTTAGAATAGTAATTAAGGCCTAATGTATTGTGTTATACTTGAATTGACAAAAATGTTGTTATACCCCCAGTTTCTTAACACAAATCATCGAGGAATTTTGTAACGTTCGATGTTTGTGATTTTTCACGTACTAAGGAAAACTTAGCTTCTCATCTAGAAGAAGAGGCGTAACTCAAATAAACCAAATGTGAGAATACTGGGGACCCACATAATATTCGAACATTTTGAAAATTTAAGGACCAAAATGAACAAAACGCAAAAAAATATAGGGTCTAAAATAATATTTAAACAAACAAATAAAAAAACGGATTAAATGATGATTTGACTAAATGTTTGAAATTTCCTATTTGTATGGTATATTATTAGTGGGTTCACAAGGAAGCAGCTTCTAAGCTTCTTGGTATCAGGTGTGTGAAAAGACATGGACGATGGAAGTTAAACGTTGGTTCCAATAGGATTCTCTATGGTTCTAGCACAAGGATCATTACTAAATATAAAGAAAGTGATTGTGAATCAACTTCTGACTGAGAAAGAAAAGTCTCTTGTTCGACCATATTCTTAGTCAAATCAATCTCAGTTTGAAATTTCCCTTTCACACAACTAATGTCACTGACTGTGGATTCTAATATTCCAAGGAAACTTCGACCACGAATGTAAGTAGACGCAGCAACATCGAATAAGCCTCACAAATTCACTCTTAACTTATCGTAACGAACAAAAAGGCCTCGAAATATACATTTATGCAGACAAAATGACATCATACCTTGGAAAATAGGTGGGAATTCATGCGCCACCAAGGCAAGGCAGTCGTCCTAATAATAAAGAGAACCTACAAAAGTATTTGAAATCAGAGACTAAAACAGATGAGTCAACAGATTCCAACAACTTCGTCCATTACTTTATCTGTACCTTGCCACCAATTTCCCCTAGAAGCAGGTTGGAAGTTGTTTCCATTTGGATCATCTTCTCCCCCACTTTTCTTCAACTGGGTCATCAACGAATTCGCAACAACATGAGAAGAACAATCAGTTTTTGTTCGTTCTGATAAAGTCGTAAAAGTTACAGCAGAGAGCACACATCTTTGACATTGATCCAAATTGATCAACAAAGTATACTCACAGTGGGGGCTGGGGATGGGGATGGTCCAGCTGATGGGGCCTGGGAGTAACCATCTTGTCCTCCATAGTATAGAGATGAACTCAGATGGCAAGGCTCCAAGCTCCCTCCTTGAAATTATCAGATCTTGTTTTTGTTAGGCATAACTTAATTTCTTTTTTCTTGAGAACGGCTAAAATTGAGGATTATATTCTTAAAAATAGTTACAAATAATACCCTTATCTTCTGTAAATGATATACTCATATATTCTTAAAAAGGTTTCAAACAATCCATCCCTGTGGTTTGTGAATTTGCATATCATACCCTTTTGTCCTTTAATTTTAACGGGATTGATACTTCAATTCACACACCTGAATTTCCTTGTCTGGCGTGGGATGGTTGATTTCCATTGGCCTGTTTTAGCCAATCGCCAGAGCTAGAAGAATTCCTGCCTCCCCCCTGAAAATTAGAAAATAATAGTTAATAAACGTGATGATTTGACAATGACTCACAGGAGGAATAATCTTATTCTAGTCGTCATGAGCACTCCTTTAGTTTGAACGTCCTATTTTATTTTTGACCTTTAAATAAAAGTTCATTTTAATCCTATGCCATTTTATGGCCCCAGCCATTCTTTGGTTGTCTTTCTCCCTGGCCTATGGCGGTTGTGGTTGTAAGCTCAATTAGTTAATCTTTCCGTTCTTCAAAACAATAATAAGAAAACAAGAAAAAAAGAGGCATCTTTTTAAAGACTATTTATTTATATAAGGACATGCTTATTCAAGCGCATACACCATTGATATCAGTAAAAACTGAGGATGGGATTCTCTTAGATGGAAGTGGCCAAGAATCATTGTCCAAAACTGAAGAAAGACCAATATATTTTCATATTATATTTGAGTAAAAATGCGGACTCAAATTCCGTGTCACGTATCTTGAGTTTGATACCAAAAATGGAGACAGACTGCCAGAGATTTCCGCTAAATATAACTAAAACAATTGATGAAGATTTATAAAAAGTTTAAAGATCTAAACGTAAGAATTAAAATGGAATAACTTTGAAGGTTTGCAATTAAAACTTTACATGAGATTCCTGCAACAAAACTTGCAATACCAGTCGAAGTAGGGAATTCAGGACAAAAATATATCATTGCTAATAGGCAAATAATAGGGGGACCCCTTGAGCAACGAACTTTATAAAATGCCACATGAGTTTCAAAAAGCCTCCTCTTAACATTATGCAGCAAAATCTAAACCAATTTGGAAAGGAGAAAGAAAGTTCTACGTAGAGAGGAGCATTACCTTCTGTGGAGAAGGAAAGATTGCTGCAAAGACTTCTGATGAAGAAGTTGATGGCGGCTCCTTGACATCGAAAAGATCAGCAACGAAAGAGGAGGCTTGATACCCTTTAGACTTTCCCTCCATTTTCTCTCAATCTTTCCTTCTTACCTAACAAAATTACTCTCCTTTTCCACCACACCCTATTGAAAGAAATCAGCAGAGTAAGAAATGAAAGCAAGAAACTATGCTTGTAAGGATCTCTACTAATGAGCTAAGCTGCTAAGAATGAGATATGTCTAAATTGACTCCTCAACTCACTATTTATAAGAAGAAGGCGATGGCTGCTGCTTTGTCACCCATGTGCCATCATCCTTGGGGAAAAGAAGAATAGAATAGATAAAAGAAAAGAAAGAGAGAAGCCGCCTCTTTCCAATTAGTTTAACAAAGATCTTATTTGGGAATTTTTCTTTTGGGAATTTTTCTTTTGGAAATTTCCTCATTCACTTTCTGGTCTCTGCATACAAAATAATAATATCATCCATGCTTTCCTGTGAGAACGGAGGAGGATAAGTGCCAGGTGGGTCCACATGTGATCCCAATTGGACATATCTTGTTGTGCCACGTGTTCTTTAATGGATAATGCAAACTCACAAGCACAATTATGTTCATTATATTATCTGACCCAGGTTCTCTTCTTCCCCACACAGCCAATGGCAATCCCTGAGAGTGCTTTTCTTTAAGTCCAAGTTGAAATGACTTGTGAGAGACAATGAAAGTGAAAAAGAAAGAAAAAACTCAAATGGGTTTCGATCCCACATGTATATCACAGGTGACAAGATAAGGTTCATCTCTAAGATAATGCCATAACAGAAGAAATCGACTGTTTTTAACTCTCAAATTTTCATTATCCCAATTGATTCCAATGCCATCAACAATCCAGTCTATCTATCTAACTCAGGCAGCCAAATGATTCCATGAATTCTGACAAATTCCATTCCAGAAACTAGAAAAATCAAGGAAAGGAAGATTCGTTCAAATGCCCATCATAAAAACAAACCAATCCATCATTGAAGATATGATAAAACCTCCCTAAAAAAACAATATCAAAATCTAAAACAGTACGAATTTGGATAAGGGTGAAAAAAACTGAAAGCCAGAGGAGTTGCACAACTTGAAGCCCTAAACAATTTCTTTAGGGGAAAATGGGGTTGTGGGGATTTGTTTGGTCGTTTCTCCATGATTACATTGGGGAAAGATTCCAATGTCGAATATTAAAAAAAAATAGTCATCAATCATATTTGAGAGAGACGTGAAGCCACTCGATAACCACTCTCGTGCAATCGATGCGAAATATTATCTTTAAGAAACGTTACAAACAAGAAATAGGAGAATTGAAAAGGTCTAGTCCATTAATATCAGCCATTGATCGATCAATCAAGCGTGGTCTTACCTGGAGAGGCTCGGCATTTTCTTCTGAGAAATCATGGAAATGAGAAGGAATCGTTCAATTTCAACTCCCTGTTCGTGAAAATTTCGCGATCGATGATTGTGATGGGGAGTGAAACTGGGAGAGAATTAAATCAAAATAACTGGAAGGAAGGACTCATCCTTGTAATCTGAGATGTCAATTCCATCAAATCAAGTGTTATATCCAAAATGTAAACCTCCCATCCATTCATAATTACAAATAAGTCAAAACAGACAATATCTACTTGTAATGAATTTAAATTGTTACAAATAATACAACATAGACACAAGTCAGTATGCCACATATAACGTTGTCAGTCAAAAGAGTGAATTGTGAAATCAAACATCAGTTGTAGAGAGAAATAAAACATTCTAATAGTGTCAAAATCTTTTCTTGTAAACAGATTTTAAACATGATCCAAAACAAACCATATCTTTAGCGGAGTTATTATAATTGTTGTGTTAAATAATATGCTTTTATTTAAAATTAGTTAGGTTATATATTTTTATTATTAATCTTTTTTCATAACAATGTTGAAATAAATTTAAGAATATTAATAAATTTATATTTTAATTTTAAGTAGAGGATGGAGGAGAATAAGAATATGAGATAGTAACCAAGTGGGGATGGGACTAGCATCTTCAATCCCCACCGATAAGCAAATCCAAAATAATAAATATTTTTTATTTTAATTGGAAAATATTTTAAGATATTTATTGAGTGACTCTTTGTTCCAAAAAATACATAATAATAAATATAAATCTTTATTTCCTGTAACTATAAATTTTGGATTTATTAAACTTGTTTTATTTGAATATATGTTTGAGTTATTTATTTTTTATTATTATTATTTTATATTTAAATTTGAAGAGAAAGGATAGGAAAGAATCAGAATATGTATAGTTATGATGAAATGATACCATTTGTCACAAGCGAACATTTGAATATATGTTTGAGTCGAATAAAGTTCCAGTACAACCCTGGATTGGGCGGTTAGTCAGTAGAATTGAGTTATTTATTTTTTTAGTTATTTATTTTTTTTTATTATTATTATTTTATATTTAAATTTGGAGAGAAAGGATGAGGAAGAATGAGAATACTGTAATACTATTTGTCACAATCACATTTTTTTTTTTATGACAGCGAACTTGCGATTGTGCGACACTCACTTTCCAACGATAAGTGAGTTAAGTCAATTCGTTCTTGCATCGCCTACGGTCACGGTCAAGCGACGTATGCTCGAGCCTCATAGTATATTCCCTTAAGTTCATAGATGAGTTATGTAGTATATGAAATATCTATTTATCTATGAGGTCAAGGACTTTAACCATACCCTAAACTTAGCCATGTCAATAAGATCTTTAAATATCGAACAAAAAGTATAGTAAAAAATGACTAAAGTGTACTTTGTTCCAGGACTCCAAGTAATATTTTTGGATACTGGAACACTTTAATTTTTCGATAATATTTTGATAGAAAATATAAACGCTTTCAATTTCCATTATATTCACAAAAAAATTATATTTTATTTGAAAACATAATGCATCAATCTTTTACCATGGTGACTAAATATAAAATTTAATAAACCTTATAAGTACTGAAATTAAGGCTTTAAAAGTTATACATTTGTAACTCCATGTTGCATTCAGGGTCCTCAGTAAATAGACAAATTCTGGACAATGATCCCTCAACAAACTGCAGACTCTCTTACTAGGAAACAAACACCTGCATTTGATTCAAGCTATATGGTATTTTCTTCATCTTCTTTACCTTCTCCTTCGAATCCCAAGACGCCTGTCCCCAGAAACACCATCGAAAACATATCCATCTCGTTGCAGTTTCGTATCGTCGCGCTTTGTTTTGCTTTCAGCTCCAGCAGCAGGAAACATCACAAAACCAGAGTAATGTTCTCCGACAAAACGTCCTATTAATTCACTGAAATGATGTGTAATACGATGTAATCAGATTAGAATGAAGTCGTAACGACGCAAGAGAAAGGGCTAAACTAGTTAGCAGCAATGAACTGACATGAACAAGCATCTGATGTTAAAGGGCTAAAGGTCTTTCAAAGGCTTTGTAATAACAATGGTGTACTCTTCATAACGAACCTACCGACCCCACAAAAGTGTGGACAACCAATGCATTTCACTTATCGAACAGGATTTGATCGTTGGTTCGTGACCCCTAAATCTTACTATTTGTAGCTTCTACAGAGCGGAGACAACGACGACGGGAATGGTCTATGAATTTTCCTGTTTACGAGGATGACATGACTCACTTGATCCCCTTCCCCACGGATCTAAGCGAACCATACAACGAATAGATTTCTTGGCTCGAACTCAACTATTATCCACATGACTCGTACGAATATCTCACCAACTATTCATCCTACACTTCTTGACCGCTAATTCGAAGACATGTTTTGGTCATTTTTTCATGACATCAATGGCCGACTACGAATGCCTACTAAGTGCTACCAACCGTCAGATAATACAAGCAAAAACGCAACGTTAATAGAACATACCTCAGCGTAGGCCGAATATCTCTTCTGGGGGATCGTACACGTGCTGGTCAGGAAAGAGCTCCTCAAAATCTTGCTTCACTCTGTTTCTCAAAAGGGGGTGTGGCAAAAGTCCTTTCAACAAAATTCTAAATGGCAACTCATCTGGTGGATCAGGAGACTTCTTCATATCCTCATATATGTTCATTGCATCAGAAGGAGATCCATATTTCAAGAAACCTCTGATGACTTCGGTATACGTTTGAGAATCAGGGAATAAATTCTCCTTTCTCATGCTTTCCCATAATTCCATTGCATCATCCATCTTTTTACTTCTAGCTAATGCAACAATCAAGTCTTTGTAGATAAAAACATCGGGCTTGAACCATTCTTGCTTTTGAATCAACCGAAATACCTGAAAGTTCGACAAGCATTCAAGGCGAGCAAACATAATGACAATAGAAAAGTGCAGCAGGTCAGGTCAGATTCCCCGAAATAATGAAGTAAAATTGATCAATATCAAGTTGAAGTAAGAGAATCTAACAGCAAATATGTAATAGCCAAACCGACTGCTAGCAGATATTATCCTCTTTGGGCTTTCTCTTTCGAGCTTCCCTCAAGGTTTTTAAAACGCGTTAGCTAGGGAGAGGTTTCCACATCCTTATAAAGAATGTTTCGTTCTCCCCAACCGATGTGGGATCTCACAATCCACCACCCTTCGAGGCCCAGCGTCCTCGCTGGCACTCGTTCCCTTCTCCAATCGATGTGAAGCTCCCAATCCACCCCCATTCGGGGCCCAACGTCCTAGCTAGCACACCGCCTCATGTCCACCCCCTTTAGGTCCCAGCCTCCTTGTTGGCACATTGCCCGATGTCCAACTTTGATATTATTTATAACAACCCAACCCAACATCACTGCTAGCAGATATTGTCCTCTTTGGGCTTTCCCTTTCGGGCTTCTCCTCAAGGTTTCTGCTAAGGAGAGGTTTCCACACCCTTATAAAGAATGCTTCATTCTCCTCCCCAACCGGGTGAGATTTCACAACATATTTTCCACAAGCAACTAGATTGGAAAAGGGTTCATATACGATCTTAAATCATAAATATATATATGAAGAAGACCCTGATGAGCAATCAAAAGGTGCAGATCAGAGATGAACATAACAATTAAGAAGCAAAAATTCAAAGCATTAACCAACAAGGTTATTGAAAAGTAATAGTGACAACAAACAAGAGTAAGACATGAATATTAAGTATATTTTGCAGAAGCTCGTTATCTATTTCCATGGCACCTCATGAAGTAAAGTTAAAAACCCAAAAAATGACGGAACATATTGAAGAAAAGGAAGGGAAAAGAGACCTTGACGGCTAATGCAACCTCTTCCTGCCGCTCAAGTTCACCAAGCACAGCAATCATATCCAATTTCAAGAGCCGCAAAACATGACACTTCATGAACTTCTGGAGCTTCTCTTCATCTTCCTTGAATCTCTTCAATCCCTGAATAACGAAAAGCGCTTCTTTCCCAATTG